TTCATTTAAAATGGATGTACAGTTAGGTACTCTAGGAATATGCCTACATACACAGGTTACAGTATTAAAGTCTTGTTATACATTATTTACGTTATATTTATTTTGAACCTAATTTGTATTACTCAATATCAATTAACCCATTTTTAACTAATACTAGCTTCATGATGGGTTAGCCTCTGGATCAAGGTAATGCAAATATAAAAGGTTTAATTTACCTGTTGCGTCAATTGATCCTTAAGTTATGAAATAACTACGGCCGTTTCGTACTGCTAAACGAGTACATCTTCAGGTTGTCTACGAACGTTAAAATACGGCCTTCTCATCCGTGGGTGGAGTCGTCAGCACATTTAGGACACATAACACGAACACATAACGAAACATTAAAATATTTACAATTAAAAACTTGGCCAAGTAGTCCGAACACGAGAGTTCTGTAACAACTCGACAACCTGAAGATGTACTCGTTTAGCAGTACGAAACGGCCGTAGTTATTTCATAACTTAAGGATCAATTGACGCAACAGGTAAATTAAACCTTTTATAATACTAGCTGTTACTCACGTGCTTCACCCCGTTTGACTTCATAAGTATTATACTCAAACGGTATTAATAAAACTATTGATTGGTTAAGTTAAGCTGAAATAAACAAAACAGAATACAGTAATACCTAATACAAACAAATAATCACACCTAATTTTAATAAGGTAATAAATTGAAAGAATAACATGAAAATAAGTACAGCTGAGGTATTTTTAACATTAAGTACATGGAAAGTTCCCTTTGGATAGGAATTACGACCTTAAAGGGCAATTTGTGGAATAATAGTTTTGCGCAAGGTTTCTCGTCATGACGAACATTTTAAATATATGGTTTATGGGGGCGTGACTTGTAGTTTTCTCAAAAGTTCATGTACTTCAGGTACTTTGGTATTTATATGGATTCTACAGGTTGCAATTATATTGATGTTTTGATAGAATTATTTAATAATAAGAAATACGAATTATGAATTTTACCAATGTAGGTATTAAGGTTAACAAGACCCAGAAAACAGGAAGGTACATTGATACTTATTACTCAATCATTAACCATTAATGGCCATCTTTTAATACATAAGTAAAACTGTTGAATGTTGTGATAATTATGAAGTCAGGCGCAGAGGGGAACAAGTTTTATGAAATCTATATTTGAAGGTTAAACATATTAAAGTCATTAACTACTTAAGTACATTCAATAATATACTGGATTATTTTACTATGCGATTTTGTTGGATACAGAATCATACACCTCAATTTTCACACTGTACAATAATCAGGATTGTATTTGAGTTTGAAGTATTTGTAAGAATCATAACAAGCTAATTTAATGTGACTAATATTTTATTAGTAAATCCAATACAGTCATTTACAGATAGACAAAACTGAAAACATAAACATGGATTTTTTTATAACAGATATTTTTAGATGAGAGTAAAATGTTCGCAGCCCACTTTAATGGTGGCGTCCTTATAATAGAAAAAAATAAATCAATTAATTGTTTGCTGCAACTACTCTACTCAAATAAAGAATCTTTTGGCCAGCGATATGATATGGATTGGAATATTCTTTTAGCATCGAATATGTGTACTATTCCTGTTTCTATACAGAGATTTAATTTAGTTGGAAGCTATATTGGTTAGCCACAGCAGTTAATTAATTGACTGACAAGCGAGAACCCACTGACACTAAAATTTCATTTGACTCGACTGTGATATTACATCGAATAGTTGGGTTCTAAAGTCAATTACAATAAATACAATTGCAATTTTGATGGTTAGAGATTTAGAATGGGACAATTTTTCGGGCAAGTGAACTATGAAGGCAACCTCATAAACTTTAATTGCTTACCATCTATTCCATTTTCTATTTTACAATTTTATAAAAACTAAACAGGATGGAAATGTAAAATATATACTGAGATGTAGTGAGTTGTATTTTAGTGTGGTATGGTAAAAAATAGTGTATGAAAAAATAATAGAGTTATATGCAAGATATAGTTGGCGGCTAGTTTGAACTAACTTTTTGGAATTAATATTACATCAAAACTAGCTATACAGTATACTGGTGTATACTTATTGTCAAATTTACGTAGCTAGTTCAACTGAAGTTAAATGTGCATGAAGAACTGATACTTCTAGCGTCAAGACAGTTTCGTCTAAAACTTTAAAAAACAAAGACAATACGTTATTACCATTAGAATGTTATCTCTGTCATGTCAAACAATTAGTGATATCGAGACTATTCAAGATAAAACTTAAGAATAGCACATTGCAAATTTGGTTTAAATCAATGAACATTGTGGACACATTTTTGGTAACTTGATGCCAAATCAGACAGTAAATCGAGCTATCTTTAGCTCTATCTGTCAACAATAGAGAAGGAAGTGTATCACGGCGGACTTACACGAAGTTGTCCGAACATTGTCGAGTTTTATTCAGTCTGAACAGCTGTTTGTTAAACGCGTTTTGTTGTGATTCCATTATTGAATGTTGGTGTTTGTGTTAGTGTATTCGGTTTTGCTTGTGTTGTTAGACGTTTTGTTTGTAAAACATGATCTCTTAGGTGAGTTGAATGTCTTAATTGTTGAAGTATAGGATAAGCATGTATCCTTACGAGATCGTCGCGTAAACTAATATATCTACAATATTGAAATTTAATGTAAGATTGTTACAAGTAGACATTTTATCTGTAGAACACACCCTTAACTAAGCAGGTAACCAAAATGCATCAAAGCTATTGATATACACTTCATGATATTTCTTTAAATCATAATATATTCCATGGATAATAATAATATTGTTGTAATAATCAACTTGTACCGTATAGAAAAAATCACCTGCAATCAATAATGTATCTAAAATGGATATATAAAAAAGTCCAGACAACGACTGACTTAAATTAAAACTTTGCCCTACTCAATCATAAAACTTTGTTGGCTTAGCCTTACGATCTCATCCATTAGCATGATTAAGATAACCTGTTGAAAGTTGAACGTAAAAGTAGTGGGTAAAGCTTAGAGGGAACTCTTTCTCTTGAATTAATATTTTATGGAAAACCATGTTAGCTTTGCTCACAGATTACCTCAACTAACATAGATTGAAATATAATTTAAACCAACAAATGTGTTTGTCTTAAATATCTTTAATGAGGAATAATACTTACAAAACATTCCTCTCCAGTATCCAAGTTTAAAATTTTAAAGGGATCTTATTTTTGATTGAAAGACGTATTTATCCAAGCTAATTAATTTAAATAAATAATAAGTATAAGCATAAGCAATAAGTATAAGCAAAAATATTCGTAAGAACCTGGTTAAAAGCTTGGGTAGTTCAAGCATTTTCCAAAGTGTCTTAGTGAGTCTGTGGCCTCATTTTTAGTTCAGGTAATTCTTTTAAATTATTGATTTTAGTAGTGTGAAGTTTGGAAAAACGCTGAAAAAGTTTGAAATTTTTCTTGACCCTGTCTCAATCCTTTAGTCAATGCAAGACAATATGACTAAGAAAATGTTCTAACATTCAATGGGAGTAGGCCTCTTTCCATAAACGATTTTTTGTCAATTTTAAAGATGATATAAAACTAAACGTTCACAAAATAGATGATGCAGCGTTGGTTTTGGCTAACTAACTCAAACTGCAAATTAATTTAGTTGAAAGCTGCAGCGGGCGAGCCACAACAGTTAGTTTATTGACTGACAAGCGAGAACCAAACTGCCACCAGGATTGGTAAACGACTCAAACTTAAATATTAATGCAGTGAAGTTGGGTTGTAAGCAAATACTAGCGAATCTTAAATGGCTGGAAATGTAGTATGGATTGTTTGGTGGGAAATTTTCCGTAAGTTTCACATTATCTTTTTTACAAATATATCTGATGGACACATAAAAGAAAGATGCTACAGATAAGAACACTGGTTCATACCTTAAAGTAGCCTTTAAGTATGCGAGGATAAACTTGTGTTGAAGTAAGTAGTAATTTTAAAACATGAAAAAACTAACATATCCATACTTAGGAATTGTAAATAATAAAGTCTGATAGATTCGATAATTTATTTACTCAAAAAATGTTACCCACCTTAAATACAGCAAATAAATATGAATACCACCACAACTAACCTTAGTTGTTTTACTTATTTATTTTTTAAATTAACACATGTAGTAAGAAAAGTACACTCGAATCTTGGAATGTGTAAGTAGCGTTGGTAAAATCAATAATTAAATGAGTTTTTATGAGCTATTAGGTATTTATCGATCAAAATCCTGAAATATACAGTAAATACCTTTTTCTAAAATCAATAAAGTTTTTAAAAATAATTTAAATAATTGATTGATTGATTTTTCTGTAAGGTTTAAATGTAATGACGTTCTTTTATTAACACATTTATTACAATATAGACCAGTATAGACTGAAATAAATGATAAAGTATAATAATTGGTTATTTAAATGCTATGAACGGCCTAAAGATTAAAGACAAATATTTTCTTAAAAGGCATAAATATCTAGTTATTGTGGACGAAGTTGTTATATTATTGTTAATGAGCAAACAGACTGAAAGCAAACAGACGATTGAAATTTATTTACTTCTTCTTTTACTAACTTCTTTGGGGAAAGCTGATGTTACTGTACAGATTTAAAATCATCATTAATCTTTATAGTTCAAACAGTCGATGGCTATGTTCAAACAATATCACATAATGCCATCATACTGTACACTACATCATATATTATATAAGTTATTGAAGATTTCTGTATAATTTATTAAAGTTTATATGCAATTAGAAAATTTCGGCATTAATGTGCACTGTGTTTTGAAATACCTAAAATGTGATAAAAATAAAATGTTTATGTTTACTGTGCAGTATGTTATGGTTATTAATATGTACCTAGTTGTGTATAGTCTGTTCTTCAGAAAAAATATGGTACATTAAGATAATATAAATACAAGTAGGAACAGGAAGATGAAAACACAATTTTCACAACTATTATTTTAATTCCATGAAACCAATATATTTTAAAACAATTAATATAGGTCTACTTACGCCTTTAAAATTGTATTTTTGACTATTCAATATGATTATTTATTTTCACATAAAATGTTCAAATTATAAAAATAGTTTCATGGAATTTATATGACTTTGTATTTTAAAATGAATATTTAAATGCCATGGATTGTTCCTGGAACTCATAGACGTATGCCACTCCACTTTTATCCCTTGCACTGAAAAAACACATACTCACAGTTGACATTATCAAAATATGAAACATAATAAAATACTATCATGATAATATAAATGTATCTTTATAGCTACGATTATTTTTTAATACAACTCCTATTGAAAGCTGTTTTGGCGCAATGTCTCCGCACCAACATATTTTTTTTTACGATTTGATTAACAAATATATATACAGTACATGTATTGCTTAAGCTAACAATATTGATTAATAGTATTAATGAAGCTAGATTACAATTTTAATCACTTAATATTGAAAACATAATGACATAAACCCTCAGAGAGTTGATAATTAAAATAAAATCTCTTTGTTTTTTTATCACACTATACAGTATACAGTACACAATGAGTCCTATACTACTGCAAATAATAAAAAATCGCACAACACATAAAATAAAACTAGTACTTATCTGGAAAGCATTTTAGTTTACAACGAAGTTTTAACCTAAAGTCTACTAAATATTCTAGTGTCTCTATAAGCGAGGTACATACATAATTAGAATTCAATTCGATATTTAATTTAAGTTTAAGGGACTGAACAGGAATTGTAAGAATTTATGCTTCTAAGCTTTAAGTTTTAAAGGCTTTGCAAGAAGTTTGCGGCCATTTTGATAGTTTAGTTTGTCTAGATACGCCCAGAGAGGACAGAATAGAAATTTATATTCTGTGCTCTCTGGATACGCCAAAGGCTTATTCGTGGAACCATAGAACTTCTTGTGTACTAGAGAACCTACCATAAAACGAATCCACAACACCACTTCCAAGGATTCGTAACCAATTATGCAACCAACTGAGCCACCAACTCGACAAACTATTGAATTATTTTATTTTAATACTACTTTTATAACTAACTGTTCTACACTCGTAACTATTTAAGTATGCTTTTTTGCACAAATATAATGTTTACCTGATTTAATCTCAAGTCTTGTAAATTTATAAATTGGTTGTTATGAAGATGAATTTTAATTACATGTAAAACCCGTTACGAATTGTTTGCCAATTAAAAGTAATAACTACGTTTTAGAGATCAACACACAGCGCAGTTGATCAAAATTTAATGCAGGAGGAGCCGTTACTACACGGCGCTCCTAGCGGTGGACGCCACAACATATTCTAACCACAGCACTGCTGTCGGTCTATATTTATTCTATCCGTCTATATCCAAATACTCACCATCAGCAGGCATTTCCCGGATGGACTTTCTGTTTCACAACACCAGGGAGGACTGTGGGTGAAATCACCTGCTTCGACCGTCATTAACCCTGAAACGTACCCCGGGAATAGAAACTAAACAGATATAATTTTAAAAGTCTTATAAATTGTCAATTCACTTAAATTCGTTGGCAACTCTATTAATGTATTCATGTTTATTTTTCAGTAGCAACTAATAGTACTAATTAAAACGCAACCAAACTGGATGCGTAGGCCTATTTGAAGACAAAGATGGCTGCAGTATGACTTTTGAATTAGTTAGATGATAGCTTTATTACTGTCTAAGATAAACTAGTTGTGTTAACCATTTATTTAAAGTCAAGAAATCAGGATCAGGTGGGTCCAATTTTGAATGAGAAGGCTACTAATTCTTAACAGAAGAAACTTACAATTTTTACACTTAATCTCCTTGGACGGATATTATACTCTATAAAGAATATTAACAGCTTTATTAAACAATGAAAAAAAAGAAGTTTGGTTCTACAATTAGTCGTCATGAGCCAATGAGTCCATTATTTATAGTGTGTATACACAAACACATAGGCATTAACCTGAGTCTTGTTATGATGTAAATTTGATCTGTTGTTAGTAGGAACATTATGTAACTATCAATAAAACAGTGTCACATGACAACTGTGACCAGGAAGGTAATTTTGAGTTGAAATATGACTATTTATTGTCTGGATTAATAGGATATAAGAGTTTGAATAGTTTTCTTTACACGTTAAGATTATTCTTACTAGAATAAAGTAGGGAAAGAGTACTTTACGTACTATACTCTCACTATATTCTTAAGAAATACTCTTACTAGGGAAAGAGTATTTTTTTCTACGATAGTGTCTTGACAAAGATCATTTTGACTCAATTCGATTCGCTATAGACAATGACTCAAAATCAAACTTCTAAACAAGTTTCAGCAAAGCTTATGAAATTTTTTCTTTAAGTAAGAAATTGCCGGTTTTAGGGTACGTGCAGCCTACTGTGATTAAAATTTAGGGTTTATAACAATGCTTCCACCTAAGCCCATGTCATTGGTCAATCATGGCACAGAAAATAGTGGACGACTAATGCAGACTAAGCAAGTACCTACATTTTAAAATTCATATCATATAAAAGTCATATGATAGGCATAAGTTTAGTAAATAAAATACTATGAAACTTTAGTATAAATCATAAAAAATTAATCGCTTATCATAACAAATTTCAACAGAATCTGTATATTTTACGATAAAACGATATGGTCATATTTTTCGTATTGAGTAAAATGGTATTTGCTTTGAAAAATTGTAAACAAATAAAAAAAAGTAAATTTACAAGATTTCAGATAATCGGATTTAGAGAGCAAACAAAATTATTTACCAATAGGTAACTTGCAGGCTATATAATATCCTATAGGTAACTCAGCGCTATAGGATAGCGGGTGTTTTTTCTAGACCATCTGTAGAGGTTTTACAGAATATTTTGCACAGCTGCGAGTATAAAATCTTTGTAAAGATAAAACAACTCGTATACTTAAGATATATAAGTTTCATGATAGGCTATATTCCAACCATGATGTAATCAAGGCCCATACCTGACATTGAAATCAGGAAGATGACGACAAGCAAAAGTAATTGAAGAGTAGACTGTGCCTAAGACAAGGGTTGTACATAAGTATGATAATGTATACCACTGAAGAGAAATATCTTGGCTTTAAAAAGTTCCTGCGATCGATTGAGTAGATTAACGCACTTTCTAATAAATGAACATTCCTAAATTTTCAAAACTGACAAATAAAATAATAGCATAGGGCTATGAAAGACCATTTATCTTGATAAAAAAAAAAAAAAACTTCAAACATCGAATTATAGTTCAAATCAAGATTTTGTTTATTCATTTTTATAAAGCGTTAAGACATTGAATTTACGTTATGGCCAAGATTTCATTTACATTTTACACATTATTACCTTAGCTACTTAAAGGATATGTGGTAAAAATATGGAAAAGTACGTCCTCCAACACTGTTTGATACACCCACACTCATTTCGTAAACATTATTACAGAAAGGAAACAAAAATTACAAAAATGAAGATTTTGCGGAGATTTATTTCATCCATTCATGGTGGTCATCCATCATTAAGCCAACAGGTTGCGTCAGTATACGGTTACAATGTATAACGTGTAACTGTAGGTTAATCGAAATTGTATCGATTGCCGAATATTTGATATATTTTCATGACACCACTAATACATAAAATGCTAATGAAGAAGCTGTGTTCAGTATTTACGTAAGTTTTTAAAGTTTATATGTCCTAACAAGCCATTTCTTTGTATGACAGTCCTCAATACAAGTACTGTATTATGTATTCGTGTTGTGTATTTTAAATAACAGCAGTTTTTTTACTGTTTTTAAAATAACAACGATCCATTTGTACACGGTATAAAACCTTGTAATACTATTCTGGATGGATAAGTGCTTTAAATGTGTATTTACTGAGTAATTTACTGTAAAAAATCATAAAAACCATGTATCAAACCCGATAATACTAGGAATCAAAGCTGTATTAAATTGATTTATAAGTGAAATAAACAGTATGTAAAACTATAACACAAAACAAAAAATAAAATATATGTGCTTAAAACAATTTACAAACGACAACACTACTTACCATGATGAATGAGTGATGAAAACCGCAAGTGTGAAGTTTTATACTCTAGATGAACAAAGAGAGGAAATTGTGCCATGTGCCAACACAGTTTTAACGGAATTCTTAAACACAATATGTACGAACATTTGGTGGAATACATCTCATAAAGTAACAATTATTGTCATATTGACACAATTGTCTCAGTTTCATTGGCTACAGTAACTTTGACGCAACTTAAAACATTGAGAATGTCACACAGTTTTATATGGGAATTGTTTTTCGGCGTTTGAAAATAAAATGACGACCTCTGGAAAACCTTCATTAGTGATTTGGTAGCTTCATAACCAATATATATATTTGATTTTTTTGTGACAATTAACACTTTTAGAAAAAAAACATCGAAATACTATTTCGCGTTTATATAGTATTCATTGTCTATATACATTAAGACTTAAGTCTTGTATATATTTTATAATATATATTTTAAACTCTACAAAACCCCAAAGGACTGAGACTGTTATATGACCATGTCCTCTTCAGCTTGTCAATTTAGAAAAAGAAGATACATGGATAAAAGGTATTCTATATCAGGGGTATAGACTAAATAGGCTGACTATAAAAATATTAACTTTATAACTCTTATTTTAAATTTTCCGTTTAACTAATTTGTATTTAAAATAATTGTCATAACCCATACAAGTAACTAAATAAACGGATTGTGCGAGTGAACTGGAATATTGCAGCTTTATGATTAAAGTATTATTACTCTGCCTTTCAAAATCTCAAAAACTCTCCGTCTCTGTCCACACGACAACAATAACCATTCCGGAGGAAGACGATTGGACACGGAAACTGCCAAATACTTCAAACATTCCTTGACGAAACATCTGTTCCGGAACAAACGTTCTTGTACGTGTTCCAAGCTATTTTTTCGTGTTTGTGAGTGATTGGTGTCAATTGATCGTAACGTTTTGAAGAACGTAGGTTTTTAATGTAAAAACGAAAAAAGGTAATGCAATTTATATTAAAATTAAGATAGTTTATGTTTTTAGGGTTTCTAGTACAAGTATTTGTTTATTTAATATTAAGCTCGTAATGGAAGCAATTAAGTAGATTTTAGGTTATGGTACCTTTTAACAATAGTTCGACGATATGTTTACAAAAACAGGACATAAGACTGCTTCTTTGGAAAATGGATTGTAATGCATTGTTGTACTAATTGTGTGCTGGTTCAATAAAAGTAGTTTTTGGTAATTCAAAACATGTTTTGCCTACATCTGGATGTTAGGTTTCTATAGAATAAGTAGACATTTTAAAATATTATTTACTCACAAAAACTATACCACAACAGTAATTTAAAATGTAAACTCGAAATGAATTTCTAATTGCACAATGTATAGTTCTTATGATATTTTAAAACTTACTGGTATGCTTAGAAGTATCCAACATGCCTCTGATGCTTGCCTGTACCTTATTAATTTACATTTGCAAAACCTTCATCATATTTTTGTAAGAAACAAGACACAGCATATTCAAACGAAATCCTAATTGCTTTAACTTCTTGATACAAATTATTCAAAAATATATTTATACGAAATAAAGTTGTCTACCATATTATTTGAAATGCCTACAAAGAATGGATTTTATGTTCGATACTGTAAGTAATTACATTAAATCCGCATAGCAGCCATTTGTAAATATAAATGGCTATAGCCCCATTTTAAAGTTTTATTCCGTACGCTTTAATCGGTTGTTAATTAAAACTCTAAATACTTAGAGATCGTTGTTATAAATTCCTTGCAACCAGCCATGAATTATTGTATACGTAAACCCAAACCAAATCACTCAAATTCCTTATGACCAAGCTTGCATTTAAACACCTTTACTCCAGATAAAATAGTTTTGAACGGTATAAAACGAAATTAATAAAATAATTTTTGACGTTTATTGAAATTATATCGACAACAATTCAATGTTTATGTACACTGGACAGAAAATAGTTATTTGTGCAACTAGTGAGAAAAGTGAACAATTGACTCACTCGAGAGAAATCCTTACTCACGAGCCGTAGGCGAGTGAGGAATGGTTTCTCGAGTGAGGCAATTGTACTTTGAACTCGAGTTGCACATTATACTTTTCCTACAGTTACCATAAAACAAATAAATTGGTCTTATGTTTCTTCAAACATAACCTATTTTTACACAGAAGTGAACTTTTAATATAACATTTAATGTGAAGTGACAAATACAACAGTACAACAGTTGACCAGCTGATTTACCGCCAGTGCTGCCAACGTACTTCGCGCGCACACGACGTTGCCTGCATGTTACGCGCTCACTATTTCGTGCCTTCACGTTGCAAATCTGGAGTGAGACAAAGTAATTAGAGTGAGACAATGTTAACATTGTCTCACTGATGAGCGAATTGGCCACTTTGCTTTCTCAAATCAGTGAGAGAACATGTACATTGTTAGGTAACTGTAGGAAAATATATAATTCAAATAAAAAACTATCGTGCTGATTCAAACCGTGATGGGTTTCACACTAAAAACCCTATTACTATAATTGTCAACGTACCGTAGCATGTGTATGTTGTAATGTCCTGTGTTCGAACAAAGTGGTAACAACATAGCTTAGTGATTAAAACATGCGCATCAGCTGAATGTTTTGTGTTTTGTTTGTTTGTAGCATCTATTGCTCCATTTGAGCAACCGCAATGTAAACATCAACTGTCACTGCTCTTAGTAATCGCAACATCGATATAATGAAGGCTGTGTATTTTGCCAGTCCAATAATAACAGAATGTGCGCCATGTTGGATCAGCTGTTCAACAATCGAATGATGATCTGAGAAAGTGTTGTGTTGATTTTGGTAAGAAATTATCCTGCCTCATTTTGTGTCAATCCTTTCCTTGGTACGAGCAGTTCTGGTAGCATATTGAAATGCGGCATTTTGATAAATCCTAGCTTACTGACATTCAGCATGAAACCTCAAGGTAGGCTCTTTTTGGTGGTGATAGGAAAACAAACTCTATTTTACCCAGTCAAGTAATCAAAAACTCGTTTTAAGGTTAACCATAGAAAGAATACTCACTCATAGATTTACTACCGTCAGCTGATCACATTTTTAAAGAAAGATTCAGTTTTGTTTATCTAGATTATATTATTTTATGTCAAATTCATTTAGGCTCAATCGATATTTAGTCCTTTGCTTCAAACACATATCAACACATGCTTAAGATTTTAATATATAATGAAAAATCCATCTCTAATAGACATAATCTAAAGTAAACATCACATTATAAATGCACTATATTTGACAAGGTATAAATATAGTTCATCCATTGCTCTTAAATGTCGTTAACGTATTACACTAAGCTAAGGATCATATTAAAAAAATCCATAATCATTAACGCTCATTGTAGGCCTAATTGAAACAATTACGACGAGGTATGTGCTAAATGTGCATTTTATAGAGCTCAAAATTTGTTCCATGTTTTTAACTTTCATTGATTATGTTCGCTTAAAACCGTTATCAGATAACTAAAAATACAGATTTTCAATATTTAAAATATTGTCGATTGTAGCTCTATACTATAAAGAGTGATTCATTAAACTCAAACAGCTAACAATTCTCAGTAAAAGTAGTTTGTATATAACAAAAAAAATCATAAACTGCTCCTTCTTTTGTTTAAAGTCTGGTTGTGTTTATTAATATAACTGTGATCATTCAGTTATATAAATAAACACAGCCAGGCTAAGCTGTTAAATTGCATCATACATTTTTATTAATTATGAAGAAAGTTGATCAGCATCAATGGATCTTTGAAAGTGCCCTAGCACTAGATAATATATTTTTCGTCATACTGTAGCAAAAACAGCCGTTTTAAATGCATGTGGTGCAGGTCTTAAGTAGCATTTTTACTCTTTAGAGAGTAAAAATCGTTTTTAGCACCTAGGGTAAACAATCGTATTTATCGAAAGTGTGTATAGATTGTTTAATGAATTGTATTTTATTGAAAAAAATCTACTTATCGAAAGATGAGCGGAGTGAAATG